TTCAACCAGAGCTTGGAGGGGATCCAGCTGCCCAGCACCCTGCAGACGTTGACGTTTGGCGAGTACTTCAACCAGAGATTCAAGGCCCCTGGCGAACAACATCAGCCTTGGGGCACTGGACAGTTTCAGTGGAGCTGACAGGCGGCTTTATGTGTAGGACGCATGGCCGAAGCGCCAAGGTGCGTCACAACTGCGAATCAAGCCAAGCGGTTGATCCCAGTTCCAGGTTTCACTCCCGAGGTTTTTACCTCAAAGAAGGGTTTTTACTCGGGACGCAGTAGTTCCATCCTTGTACATGCGGGAAAAGCTTGCTGTGCTGCTGTTAATGCCTATATTCAAAAGCACTGCCAAAAGCATGGCCATGTCATGCGGAGACTTGGTGTTGCCCCCTCCCCCGTTTTGCAAGCTCCTACCACCGTTTCAAAGCTTCTACCATCGGTCTAAGCCGTTTGCAAGCTACCTAGCACAGTTTGCAACACGAGTGGCCTGCAAAGGTAGCGTCACGCTATGAAACGCTTGCTGTTTCTGTTTTCAGCCTTTCTGGAGGGTTTGAGAAAGTATAGCGTCGAGCTGCCAAACGCTGTTGGCCGCTTGCTGGATCCAGTTTTGCCTTCCTGCAGGGCCTTCAAAAGCAGCGTCACGCTGCGAAACGCCTGCCGGGCGCTTGCTGGATCCAGTTTTGTTCTCCAAGCCTTCCTGCAAGGCCCTCGAAAGTAGCGTCACGCCGTGAAACGCTTGCCGGCCGCTTGCTGGATCCAGTTTTGTTCTCTAAGCCTTCCTGCAAGGCCTTCTAAAGTAGCGTCACGCCGTGAAACGCTTGCCGGCCGCTTGCTGGATCCAGTTTTGTTCTCAATGGAGGGGTCTGCAAAAGTAACGTCACGCCGTGCAACGCCTGGCTGGCCGCTTGCTGGATCCAGTTTTGTTCTCAAAGCCTTCCTGGAGGGCCTGCAAGAGTAGCGTGACGCCATGCCTGGACAGGAGGAACTGGACGGTCAAATTTTTTGCTCCGAGTGCAATGAGTTTTTGGGCGCTATTTTGCAGTTTTTTGACGCTAAAAGCTCGTTTCAGGAGCATTTTTTCAAGTTTTTGCCAAGGAAATCGCTTGCCGGGCGCTTGATGCGCAGCTTTCGCGCACTTTTGCAAAACTGTCGCTCGCTGGAGTGGGGGGACACTTCAGCCGATGCAAAATGTCATAACGTGTTGTTAACGTGTTGTAACGCGTTGTTAACATGTTATAACTTGTTGCTAACATGTTTGTATAGACATGTCAGTTTTGCAAAAGCGCTCCATTTTCGCAAAGATGCGCGCAACTGCACAAAACAGTGACATTAAAAGTTGCTTAATTTCGCCGCTTTTCGCCAAAAACTGAAAGAGGTCCCATGAGCATACCCTCACATATTGTTGTGGCCTTGACCGTGCCTGAGAGGCAATCTCTCCTTTTTCCTTGTCCTTTCAATCCGTTTCCTTTTCCTTTTCTTTTGTTCCTTGTTCTCTTCCCTTGTGCCCATTGTCCTTTGCCTTTACCTTTCAATTTTTTTTTGGGCCACTGGTTGTGAAAGCTACGCAAGCCTCCAAGACCACTTCCCACTTTTCATGTTCTTCTTTCCAACCGACGCCTCGGAATTCGCCTAGAGAAGCCATCTGAATTCCAGATGTCGAAAATCAGCACCAATGCTGTGTTCTCTGCTGATGTTTGTGTTTGGATTCAAGCTATCACCTCCCTTATGTGAGACCAAAGGGTCCATGTACCCCAACAGTGTATACTTTGGCCTTAAAGTAGTGGACCCTAAACATATGTAGAATAATGGGCTTTTAAGGGTCTTTGGCCATTATTTCACCTACTTTTGGGGGGTTAGGTATAAGTACTTCGGGGCCAAAGTCAAAACTAATTGGGCACATGGAGCCATATAATCTCTAAGCAAATAATTATACCAAAACCCTTCTGTTGCCCTTAAAGGAACCCTTAAAGGAACCCCATATGCAAGCACATGGACCCTTAGGGAATACGGCGCTGGCTGAGAAAAAAAGACGCGTTCGATCGGGGCTTTGTACTCGTTCGCGCAGGGCTTTGGAGGTCTATTCTGAAAATAACTCAATAAAGAGCCCTATTAAAGTATAGTACTGGTATAACATACTACAACTCTCATAAGGAGCCCTAAGGCAAGGTATAGTACTGGTAGCCGCAAGGAACACTACTGCTGATGGACAAAATCCTGCATGACTTTACATACCCAAACTATGGGATTTATGGTACTAATACTATATTTGGGTCATGCAGGATTTTGTCCATCAACCCCTAAACCCTAAACCCTAAACCCTAAACCCTATTGGTGGGGCCTCTATACGAACAAGGAGATATCGGAGTCTTAGCATGGGAGCTCGGAAGCCCGGAATCCTGCACCCTAAACCCTAAAAGCCCTAAATCCTAAACCCAAAAGCCTAAACCCTAAAGGCCCTAAATCCTAAACCCAGAATCCTATAAGCCCTAAACCCTAACCAAAATCCCAAAAACCCTACAAAATCCTAAACCCCTAATCCTAAAAACCCTAACAAACCCTAAACCCTAAACCGCCCTGAACAGGACAAGATGCAGGAAATGCCACAGCCTGGCTATTGCTGGAGGTCCAGGAAGCCTGGGCTTTGAAGTAGCCAGGGTTTTTGTTAGGGTTTTTGGGATGTTGGGTTTCGGGTTTGGGGCTTTTAGGGTTTGGGATTCTGGGTTCTGGATGTAGGGCCTTTAGGGTTTGGGCTTTGGGTTTAGGATTTAATTTAAGGCTTTTAGGGTTTAGGGTGCAGGATTCATAAATTGGGTACTCCCCCCGCACAGTACCAGCCTAAAATTAGGGCTACCATCAAGGGTCTGCTCCAATATCCCTTAATTAAGAAATATACCTTAACTCGTTTTAGGGGTCCTATTACAATTTAAGGTCTGTTCCTTGAAATAAAGGGGGTTGGGAGTCTCTGGGAGGCTATAAACCCTAAACCCTAAAATCCTAGACCCTAAACCCTGGAGCCCTAAACCCTTATCCCAGAAACTTGTAAGATCATCATGGTTCCTTGGAGGAACCCGGAGGGTGGATGTATATACTACGACTACGGAGTTAGGACCCCCAAAACCATCATGACGCTAGCCTTTGCGAAGGTAAAAGGTTTGGGGTTTAGGGTTTAGGGGTTAGGGTCTAGGGGTTTAGGGTTCTATATGGAGCCTCTGAGGAACAAGTACACAAAAAGCCTTAGAGTTTGGTATTCCTGGAATCCTAGCCCCTAAACCCTAAACCCCTAAAAACTCCCTAAACTCTAAACCCGGGATGGCACTCCAGAACCCAGAAGCCGCGGTGTTGATCCACTGGAGCAGCTCCTCTCCGGGCTTTGGCGGGATTGAGTTCGGGGGTTCAGGGCGTGAAGGCTTTACGGGTTGCATAAAGGTTCAGTGTTTAGGGCTTAGGACTTCGGGTTAGGTTTATAGGGCTGTAGGGGTCCAGGGTTTAGGGCTTTAAGGGTTGAGGGTTTGGGGCTTAGGGTTTTCAGGCTTCTCTAAACCCTCAACCCTAAACCCAGAAAAGGGTTCTTATACCGGCATTAGGACCCCTAGGGTCTGGAGCTTTGGAATTGGATTCGGGGTCCTAGGTTTTGCTTCGGAGAAAGCCGGATCCTATGCCCCATCCCAAGGATGCATGAGCCTATACTATAACGGATACTCAGGCTTGCCTTTTTGGAGGCCCTGTTTAAGGCCCAAGTATATACTATATGGGCACATGGAGCCTTAGGGTAACCCTAAATACGGAACTTGAAATCCCAAACTAGGACCCTCATAATCCTCATAGAGGAACCATGTTACGGTCCAAGTAAAGACTCTATGGGTACATGGGGGCATTAGGGCCCATTGCCCATCCTCCAAGAAGGCCAACCTAAAGGGGTTTAGGGTTCAGGGGGCAGGGCCCAACGTCAAGCCGTAATGGAAGCCTGAAAAATCCAAAACCCTGATCTAACCTATATGTAGATACTGTAGTTTTGGAATTCGTGTAGAGGGCTCTAATGGAACCCTGCATAGAACCCTTTTGGCAAACCTCAACTGACTCGTCCTAAACCACAAAACCAAGAACCCTAAACCTGAATTCTTGCATGCTTTGAAGCCACTCTATAGTAGAAGCCAGAAAGTTGGAAGATGATTATCCTCATGCCCTTAAGGTACAGCATAAGGGCTCCTAGCACTAATCCTCCTAAACCCATGTACCAACACTCTGGGATTCGCTGCAATGTAGAGGCCTTAATAAATCGAATACAGTTTGAGGCTATATTATACTTTAATCTTAATAAGGAACCCCCAGAATGGTATAGGTAATTATTAAGGCCTCTATGTTCGGTCGGCCGCCTGAGTCGTGCCTTCCGTGGGCCCGGAGTAGCCGGCGTTGTCCTAAGTGAGGCGGGAGTCGGGAAGCCAAAATTCCTGGGTCGTTTAGGGTTTAGGGGTTTACGGGTTTAGGGTTTAGGGGTTCAGGGTTTAAGGGTTTTAGGGTTTAGGGGTTTAGGGTTCAAGGGTTTAGGGTTACCCTTAAGGCCCCCATGATAAGGGGTAGAAAACCTACCTGTGTAGGGTTCCATATAACTTAATCCTACTGTGCTACATATAGAAAAGCACTTAAGTGCTTAACTTACAAGCACCTCTTAACACTTAAACCCTAAACCGCGCAGAGGTGATGGAGGCAAGCTTCGGGTTGGGCTCCAGACTTTCGAGGTTGCAGAGATGAAGGGATGACGGTGGCTTTTCTGGTTACGAATACAGTGTGCTTGGGGCTTGAGGGTAATTGTATTTTCGTGATGTGGCGATAAAATCTTCTGCTACCTTCTAGATACTTTTGAAGGAGCTTAAGATTTGGATGCCTGGTTTTCCTAAACCCTGAGAAACCATTAACCCTAAACCCTAAGAAACCCTAAACCCTAAACCCTTTTACCTTCAACCTCGCAGCCGGAGCTGAGGTGCTTCGTATTCAGGTTCGGGTTTAGGGGTTTAGGGGTTTAGGGGTTATAGGATTTAGGGGTGGGGTTTAGGGGTTTAGGGTTTGGGGATTAGAGTTTTTTGAAAGGTTCCTCCGTGTTTGCGAGAAATGCGCAGTCCCCAAATCCTAAACCCTCAGACCCCATGTGCCTATCAGTATCATGTACCTATGCAAAATATATACGCACTTAGGTTATAAAGTGCACATATATGGGAACCGTTTTAAGGATTTTAAGGCTGACGCACAGACTACATAGATCCTCAGAAAAATCCCGACCCGGCCCTACACCCTACAACTGCCATGTAGCTGCTGCTTGAGCTCGCGTTACATGCAAACACATCTCCATACCCTAAGCTTTATAAGCTCCACACCTTGTACCCTCCCAAAACGGTCGGAAGTACCGATAGAGCTATAATAGGAATGACTGTTATGGTTTGGACAGGTATGCCCCATAATAGTACCTAGGACCTGTTGGGCCTGAATGGCTGACGATTGCGGCTCCTGGCGCCGAGTGTAGGGTTTAGGGTTAAGGGCAGTCTAGGGTCTAGGGGTGCGGAATTGCGGGTTGGTGTGGGCTGAAACCCTAAAGCCTAAACCCTCAAAGCTAAAGCCCCCAAACCCTAAACCCTAAACCCTCAACCTACTTACGATTCCTTTTGATCCCCACGCGCATTCTGAATGCGGAGCTGGTCACCGTCTCTGGCAAGGCAAGAGAGAAGTCCTGTCTTTAAGGCATGAAAAAAGGTTGCGGGTTTAGCATTTCCGATTTCGGCTTCGTGTTTATGATGTGGGGTTCAGGTCAGCAAGGTTGAGGGGTGCTCAGGGGCACAAGTTCCAACTCTTTGTGCCCATGTGCGTGTTGGTCCCTAGTCGACGGCTCAACGAAGTCTGGCAGGGTAGGGATAGGATTTGGCGGATCCTTATCCGGTGACATAGGGCATAGAGTCTGCTACTGAGGAGCCACACTTCTAGACAAACCCTTACAGAACTATGCCCGCATAAACCCTGTCAAGCCCCCACCAAGGACGAAACAGACCTTTGCCGGCCCTGCGACCCTTGAACTACCTAAGAAAGGTGTTGCACTCTTGTGTTAACGTCCGCCCCTCTCCAATACCCCCCAAACCCATAACACTAGCCTGACGCCCAGAAACGGAAAGGGTTTTGGGTTACGTTTTGGGTTCGTGCAGAACTCAAGGACCCTGACAAAAATCCTGAGTCGTAGGATCACGACTGGCAAACCGCAGGAGCTGTACAGAACACCCCGCAACCCAAAAACCGCTTGTTGCACCCATCCCTGAAGCCCTAAACCCTAAAGTTAACCCCATAATTTCCGATAAACCCTCCAACCCCAAATTCTAGCCCATAAGACTACGAACGCCTCTAAAAAACTACCGAGCCTCAGACTCTGCAGAGCCCTTCACCCCAAAAAGGCTTCATATAGGGACCAGATGAAGAAACCCTGCCAGGGTGTCTTAATGTAGGGGCTTTATTAATTAGAGTAGGGTTTTGGGGCCCATTATACTACAGCTATAGTAAGGAACCCCCAAAACAGTATAGGTAGTTATTTAATAAATTACTACGTATACTATTTTGAGGCCCCTTTAGTTAGTAGCGTAACCACATGGAAATACACAAAACACTCTGTGTGCCTCGATCCCTGGAGGGAGGGCGCTCTCCGCTGTGCTGGTGGCATCGGATTGCCATTCTGCGCCGGAGCGGGAAAGAATAGCCTAAAACCAAAGGCTCCATGTACCTTGATAGTGGATACTTAGGCCTTAAAGGGGTCCCTATATAGGTACTAAAAGGCCTAAGTATCTACTATATGGGTACATGGAGCCTTAGGGAAAACCCTAAACGCTTTCAGGACTCCTGAAATACCGGTAGCTTCTGACAACGGCCCCATGCCGTCATACACCCTACATGTTTTGGTCTTCAACATAGTCCACATGTGGTGCTTGAGGGCTCTGGATTTCCCTTCGAGCTTACGAGTCGTAGGGTTTCACTGCGTTCTACCCTAAGCCCCAAACCCTAAACCCTAAACCCTAAACCCTGATTCTGGCTTCGGAGTTGCCATTGGGTTCAGATGTCGGGCTCGATTGGGTGAGCCCGGGTTAAAAAGCACCGAAAGCCCTGAACCGCTGAACCCCAATCAACCCTCGTCCGTAAATCCCAAAAGGTCTATCCTAGACCCTATTCCCCCAAACCCTAAAGTCCACCTAAACCCTAAACCGCTAAGCTCTACCCTAGTCCCTAAACCGCAAAACCTGCCCTAAACCCTAATCCCCTGCCCCAAGATCTAGATCCTAAAGTCTACCTACCCCAAACCACATCCCTGACCCTGAGGATCCCTGATATAGGACCCTTCATACTTAGAATAGGTTTTTAAGGCCCATTAGACTATAGTTATACTAAGGAACCCCTAAAATAGTAGAGGAAATTATTTAGGCCCCTACATAATTACCCTAACTCCAAAACCCTGCAACCTGAGATCTTGGTCGTCCAATCTTAAACCCCTAAACCCCTAAACCCGAAACCCTAAACCCTAAAACCCTAAAACCCTAAACCCTAAACCCGAAACCCTAAACCCTTATAACCCTAAACCCGAAACCCTAAACCCTTATAGCCCTAA